CCCCAAAACCCCAAAACCCCAAAACCCCAAAACCCCGGATTATTTTATAAAGTTTGACAAACTTATAAAATTTAAAATCTAAAACCCAATCATGAGTCTCATCAACGGAAGGTATAAGAAGGTAGGCCGCATTGGAGAAGGGTCCTATGGAGATGTCTACAAGTGCATAGACTACTTGCCTGATCAACCTCCAAGGACGCTCCCTTCAGAAACATGCAAGCTTGTAAAGGATGTCCAGTACGGATTGATTTCTACTGATACGGATGATTTTGAGGAAAATTTCCAAAATCAATTTAAGGAAAATGATAAATACCTTAAAGAAGAAGTAAAAATTGATTCAGTAGAGGAGGGAAAAGAGTCATATGTTGCTATCAAGAAGTCAAAGTGGAGAAGAATGGACTATCTTAAGCATAGCTTTAACTTTTCGACCTTCAAAGAGATCTCTTTCCTTCAAGAACTTGAGCACCCAAATATTGTTAAGATTCGAGACATCTTTTTCAAGGATATTAGTATCTACGTTGTTCTGGAATATATGGTAGGCGACTTGCATCAGCTGGTACATAAAGATAAGGCTGCTCTCAGCCCTAGCCATGTCAAGTATATTATGAAGGAAATTCTGACAGGTCTTCAATTTATGCATGATAAGAACATCATGCACAGAGATCTGAAGCCAGGAAATCTCTTAATCTCAGACAAAGGGGAGATCAGATATGCTGATTTCGGTATTGCCAGATATTACGAAAGAGAGATACTGCAGGACAAGGAAACTGATTCTGCTCAACTCACTAGGAATGTATGCACAAGGTATTACAAGCCTCCTGAAATTCTCTATGGAGCAAATGAATACGACTTTAGTGTTGATATCTGGGGTGTAGGATGTATCATGGCAGAAATCACTCTCGGAAGACACCTGTTTCAAGGCGAAAACGAGCTTGACCAATTAAATAAAATCTTCTCGACCTTAGGAAATGCTGTTGAAGATAACTGGCCAGGAGTCAGCGAACTTCCTAATTATATCGAATACGATTGTGAAATACAAGAAGATCTTGATACTCTTTTCTCCAGTCAAACTGAAGATTTTATAGATCTTATCAAAAACATGATAATCCTTGACCCTAGCAAGAGATTCACCGTAAAAGAGGCATTGGAGCACAAATACTTTACTTCAGAGCCACCTGCATGACTTCCTTCTGAACTTCCTCTCCCTGTGCCTTTGACTGAAGCTATTGATGACTTTACAGATTCCGACTAATCTCTTAGCACGAAATAGCTCAATTTCTTAATACTTAAAAGGGGTTTTGGGGTTTTGGGGTTTTGGGGTTTTGGGG